ATGAAGAAAATAAAATCAAATACATGGAAAATGAATAACACCCTGCTGAAACGCACCTGTGTAGTAGAAGAAATTAAACATGAATTCACAATGTTCTTAGAAATAAATGAGAATAAAAACATAACATACCACAATCTTTGGTAAATGACGAAAGTGGTGCCGAGAGAAAAATTTATTGCAATGAACACACATATCCAAAAACATTAAAGAACCAAAATTAACACAGAATATACAAGAATTAGAAACAGACCTACAGAGGGAACGACAATCACCAAATGAAAAGAAATAATAAAGATTAGAGCATAAATAAATCAGATAGAAAACAGAAAACTATAGAAAGAATCATCAGGACAAGAAGCTGATTCTTTAAAAAGATTAACAAAATTGACAGACCATTGGCAAACCTAACAAAAGAAAAGATAACATGCATTAGAAACTGCATGGGCGATGTCACAACGGAACCAAAGAAAATCAAAAGGATAATAACAGAATACTAGCAAGAGTTGTACTCCAACAAATTTGAAAATTAGAAGAGATGGACATATTTTTAGGTAAACACGATCGACCTAAACTTACACACAGTTAAGTCGAACACCTAAACAGACCCATAAAAATAGATGAAATTGATCAAAAGACTCCCAATCAAAAAAAATTCCGGCCCAGATGGCTTCACTGGTGAGTTCTACCAAACATTCAGGGAAGAGCTGTCAACAATTCTACTCAAATTATTCCAGAAAATAGATGAGGATGGCAAACTTCCTAATACATTTTATGAAGCAAGTATAACCCTCATACCAAAACTAGGGAAGGACATCAGTAAGAAAGAAAATTATAGACCAATATCCTTCATGATCATAGATGCAAATATTCTCAACAAAATCCTAGCCAACAGAATCCGGCAACACATCAAAAAGATAATACATCGTAATCAAGTGGGATTCATTTCAGGGATGCATGGATGGTTCAACATTAGAAAAATGATCAGCCGATTGATGCAGAAAAGACATTTGACAAAATCAACATCCATTCCTGATAAAAAGCACTCAAAAAAATAGGAATTGAAGTGAAATTGCTCAACATAATTAAGAGTATATTTACAAAACCAACAGCCTACATTACTCTCAAAGGATAGAAACTGAAAGCTTTTCTGTTGTGAACAGGAACCAGACAAGGATGCCTTTTGTCAACACTCCTATGTGCTAAAAGTCTTAGCAAGAGCTATACAAGAAGACAGATATTAAAGTCATCCAAATTGGAAAAGAGGAAGTAAAACTCTCTCTATTTGCACATAATCTGATCCTATATGTAGAATACGTCAAAGACTCAGTAAAAAAGCCACTGGACCTCATTGGAAAATTCAGCAAAGAGGCAGGATATAAGATGAACATCCAAAAATCAGTTGGATAACACTATACCAAAAACAGTGTTGAAAAGGACATTAGGAAAGCAATACCATTTACAATAGCCACCCAAAGGATGAAACATCTAGGAATAAATGTAACCAGAGAAACAAAGGACTTATACAAAGAAAACTACAAAACAAAAGTACAAGAAACCAAAAGAGACTTACAAAAATGGAAGAATGTGCCATGCTTCTGGATAGGAAGACAACATTGTGAAAATGTCAATAATGCCCAAAGCAATTTACACATATAATGCAATCCCATTCCAGATTCCAACAATATTCTTCTAAAACATGGAAAAAAACAATTACAAACTTTATATGGAAAGGAGAAAGGCCCAGGATAAGCAAAACAATGCCTAAGGAGAAGAATAAAGTTAGAGGTCTCTCACTCCATGAGTTCAAAATTTATTACATGGCTACAGTGGTCAGAACTGCTTGGTACTGGTAAAATGAAAGATACATAGATCAATGGAACAGAATTGATAATCTAGAAATTAACCCATCCAAATACAGCCAACTGATTTTTGGTAAAACACCTAAATATATCACACGGGGAGGTGATAGTCTTTTCAACAGATGGTGCTGGCAGAACTGGAAAACGATATGCAAAAGATTGAAACAAGACCTTCACTTCACACCTTATACAAAAAACAACTCATCATGAATTAAAGACCTAAATGTGAATCACAGAAATATGAATGCCATCAATGAAAAAATAGGGAAAAAAGTGATGGCATTTTGTCAGCGAATACACAGGCTACCAAATATTTTTAAAAATACAGAAACAAAAGTAGACAAAATAGATGAGTAGGACACATTAAATATTAAAAATGTATGTGCATCAAAAGACTTCACCAGAAGAGTAAAATGGGAACACACAGAATGGGAAAAAAAAAAAAAAATTTGCAATGACCCATCAGACAAGGGAATTTTTCAAAAATATATAGGAAACTACAACACCTCTACAAGAAAAAGACAAATAACCCAATCATAAAGTGGGCACAGGACGTGAACAGACACTTCACCAAGGAGGAGATGCAAGCAGCGAACAAATATATGAAGAAGTGTTCACGGCCACTAGCCATTAGAGAGATGCAAATCAAAACAACAATGAGATATCATCTCACACCAGCAATAACAGCAAAAATAAAAAAAGTAGAGGACAATAAATGCTGGCGGGGATGTGGAAAGACTGGGAAACTCCTGCATTGCTGGTGGAACTGAAAAATGGTCCAACCTCTCTTGAAAGCAATATGGTGCTTCCTCAGAAGGCTGGAAACAGAAATACTTTATGATCCAGCAATTCCTCTGCTTGGTATTTACCCAAAAGAAATAAGAGCCATAACACGAGTAGATATATGAACACCAATGTTCATAGTAGCACTATTTACAATAGCAAATAGATGGAGACAACCAAAGTACCCATTAACTGAAGAATGGATAAACAAACTGTGGTACATACCACATGGAGGGGATTGTAACTATGACATGAAACGATATATGATAGGATGAATGTAAAGCTAATGTTCTCCCATGTAAAATACCACGTAATTCACAAAAATATAAATAAAAAATAAATGGAATGCTTAAATTGATATCCTAGGCATAAGTAAACTGGAATGGAGAATTGTTGACTATTTTTAATTCAAATCTAGTAGCTTGCTGTGATTGGAAGGACAAATTGAGGAGGAAGAGCATCACATTCAGCATCCAAAAAAACATTTCCTGATGTAACCTGAAGTATAATGCTAGGAGTGATAGGTTATTATATACATGGCTCCAAGGAAGAGTAGTTAATATCATTATTACTGAAATTTACACAGCAACGCTCAAAGTCAAATATAAATAGAAGTTTTAACAAACTATTTTAAAATCTAAAATTGATCAAATGTGTGGTCAGGATTTGTGATAATTTTTTGTGATTAGAGTTCCAAAGTTGGTAATAAAGAATAACTGGAAAATACAATGTTTGTGATATGAAGGATACCAGATATCGCATGTAGAATTTGCATGATCAATGACTTATTCATGGGACTTTTTTTTTTTTCTTCACATAAGACAATGACTAGACTTCATTGTGTGCAATACCCAGGAATGAAATAAACTTCACAAGGCATTAAGACTCAGGAGTGTGGTGAATCCAGTTTATTCTTCCAATCCAACATACGTTTCATTAATTTCAACGCGGGGTATCACCTACTGTAGTTATAGCACTGTGCTGAACCATATCAGAGAGGTCTACAGTGATCATGTATGGAAGAAAAAGGAGTTGAACACATGCCTGGAGTAGCTGGGCCACATTTCCATCTATGTGAAGCCCACCCTCAATCGATGCAGAATCGCCAAAAAGAGCACTCATTTCCATTTAGAAGTGATCAGCATGAAAGCTGAGAACTTGGCAATAAATTACTGTGAGAGACCAAGACAAGGAAAGTAGTGTGAGCACAGGCAATGATCTACCCTGCAAAGAGTTCTCTGGCCTGCAGAGGGCACTAAGAAACTATTGAAGATATGAAGCAGATGTAGAGAGTTTCCTGAACTAGTGAGTGTCCTCTTAGGGATAAACAGGAAATATTATTTTTTGCACTAAGTTTTATAACTAAAATTGTTCTTCTGGTACTTCCCACAAGTTCTCCAAATCTCATTAAGGTTTAAAGTTTCATGCCAACTTTAGATGACAAAAAGGGGAGTGATTGTCCAAAAGCTACAACCTATTACCCAATGTGTGAAGTATCAACTCTAATGAGTTCTATGGAACTTACATTTAAATGGAATTTTCACATTTACCCATAAAGAATACCATTGTACCATCAAGTATTTTCTTTATTTGTGAGTTTGAAATATATACTTGAGAGAATCTATTGCCTTTTTCCATATTAAAACATCCTTTATTTCCACATACAACTATTCTGAAACCTTTTATTAAAATGTGTGATCATAATAAATGATTTAATATGTCTTTTTTCTGCAAGCCATATGTAAATCTCGATGAGGTGGATTCGCACAGTGGTTCAAGCATAAGAATGTGAGGTTTGCACATGACACAATAGTGTTTTGATCTCTTGTACCTAGGGTAACTGTGAGTTGGAGCTGACTTGATGACAGGTAGGACAACATAAACATAATTTCACTCTAACAACCCAACTGAAATGAAGAAGTGTCATATTCAAAGACAAACCTTGATTTCCTTCTTGTAAGTCTTATTTATTCCTGCCTTTACACAGAATAAGAAATGACATAAAGAGAAGCATAGTTATTCTGCTTAACTGTAATCCTCAGTGTGAGTGATGTCATACACCTAGAGTTTAAGGATGTGGTAGAGGTCCAGGTTCCCAATTGGGACTTGAATAATCAAAACCTCATGATTTGCATCTTTAGCATTTTTCTTATGTCTGGATGTGTGTCTTGGAAATCATCAAAAAATAAAAATGTTCCTCAAATGGGTCCCAGACCTAAGCCATAAATATTCTGCCTCATAAATATGTAAATAATTTGAATTTTACTACATCAGATAAGGATATATCTGATTTCCTAGAGCCCAACCAACAACCATACCACTCTCCATTAGATGTTCTGGTATTATAGCTGTCTAACTATGGACTGGACTTTGAGAGTCGTCTTGTTGGTTGCAGCAACTACAGGTAAAATAGTTCCCAATCCCAGGGATGGGGAAGGGGTTTTGGGTATTCATGTTGAATTTCATCCACCCCAATTTACTCTCAGTAGGTGGCCAATCTCAGATCCAGCTGGTGCAATCTGGAGCTGAACTCAAGAAGCCTGGGTCATCAGTGAAGATCTCCTGCAAGACTTCTGGATACACCTTCACTAGCTACGATATGAATTGGGTGCGTCAGATCCCTGGACATGGGCTTGAGTGGATCGGGTATATTAATCCAAGCAATGGTAGAACAAACTACGCACAGAAGTTCAAGGGCAGAGTCACCATCACCAGTGAAAAGTCCACAAGCACAGCTTACATGGATCTAAGCAGTCTGAGCTCTGAGGACACGGCCATGTATTACTGTGCAAGAGACACAGTGTGCTAACCACATCCTGAGCGTGTCAGAAACCCTGAATAAGAAGGCAACTGCACTGACTTTAGAGATGTATGGACAATTAAGCTGTAGGGATGCTTATTTTGTTGTTATTATTGCTTTTAGATGCCACTGAGTCATTTCTAACTCATAGCAACATTGTATACAACAAAACAAAACACAGCCTGGGCCTGAACCATCCTCACAATTTCTACATTTGAAACTATTGTTGCTGCCTCTGTGTCATTCCATCTGGTGGGAGTCTGATCCTCTACTTTACCAAGCAAGATGCCTTTCTACATGGGATTTTCCCTCCTGACAACATGCCTGAAATATGAAAGACATAGTCTTGCCATCTGATTCTTAAGAGCATTCTAGATGTATTTCTCTCAAGACAGATTTTATTGTTCTTCTGGAAGACCATACTCTTCTATAACACTATAATTCAAATGAATCAATAAATAGTTGGGCTTCTTTATTCAGGGTCAACTTTAACATACTTATGAGGCTATTTAAAATATCATGGCAAATCTGCCCTCTTTAGAGTGCCTAAGTAAAGCAACGATGCTGGGTGGTCAAGATGCAGAATCTGGTAGGAGGCTTTGGGAAATTTGTGGCCTGAGCTGTGCCTGGGCTGGTAGCCAAGGAAGAAAGAAATATCAGTTAGTGAGAGGTTCATTTATGCTGAGGAGATAAGCATCAAAAGCAGCATTTTATCTCACTGAAATAATCTTGAAAGCTATGTGGAATTTTCAAATCTCCACAATGAAGTATACAGATAATCAGTGAAGAGAGGTTTTGAATTCACAGTTATGGTAGTAGGTGAATCTGGATGGGGAAAGTCAACGTTAATCAACTCACCACTCCTTATCGATCTGTATTCTCCGTATAGTATCCAGTTTCTACCCCTAGAATAAAAAAGTATCGATGCAACAACTGAAAGTTTTAATCAAAGAAGGTGGAGTTCAGATACTATTCATGATAGTAGACACCCCAGGATTTGGAGATGAAGTAGCAATTTATTATTGATTACATTGATAATATGTGTGAGGACTACCTAAATGCAGAATCTCGAATGAACAGATGTCAGATGCCTGACAAGAGAGTGCAGTGTGGTTTATACATCATTGCTCCCTCATGATTTGGGCTTAAACCACTGCATATTTAAATTATGAAGCATTTACATGAAAAAGTTAGTATCATCCCCTTTATTGCCAAAGCAGACAAAATCAAACCAGAGGAGTGCCAACAGTTGAAAAAAACAGATAATGAATAAATTCAATAGTGACAGAAGAAGCAGAGGCAGATACGGGAGGTGCCTCAGTGGAGGCACAAAAAAACAAACAAACAAACAAACAAAACAGAGAAGACACTTTCCCAAAATGTTCCAGAACTTCAGATCTAATATAAAGAATGGGGGCAGAGGGAAGGCATCAGTTTTCCACGTCCATCTGTGGAGAAATCTGACTGTAGAAGGAACACACAATGATTTCTGAATTGATTGGGATGTTGCCTGTGGGCTTTTCAGCCTTGGTGGAGATCAGAGTGTGAGAACACAGCCAGGATGATAGAGCCCTGAAGTTACAAAGAGGCATCTGGAAAAAATATGTGATGAGTTTTTTTTTTTTTTTTCCACTTTTCTTTCCTGCTGTCCAATGTTACACACTTTCTGCCCAGCCTGGCGCCTTCAGGCAGGTGGGCACGCACACCCAGAAAGGTCAATTTCTTCACACAGGGGGCACAATTTTCCCATGGCATAAAGAGGAATTCCCTGAAAGCCCCAGTGGTCCCAGAAGCTAATCCTTTGGCTGCTTCTTTTGACATCTGGTTCTGGGACTTAGCCCTAAAGTTGACCTGTGTAGGACACTTTACTCTTGCCTAACTTAAAATCAGACAGCATACCTGGCCATTGAGCCAAACCACATTTTCACTTTGTTAAACCCTAACATAAAAGATAAGAGCCAACACCAACTACTATATAAAAGGATGCAGCTATTTTGAGAACTGCACTGTACATACACAGATACCTAACTAACCTTCAGAGATAAACATAGTGGACCATCTTTCTTCAGTTCATTTCTTAATATCTATCTGCACATCTCCATGGTAGTGACAAGAGAAGGGAACTGATGGAATGGACACTCCAACCCACACCTGGAGGTTTCTATTGAACACACACACTGACCTGAGCAGCAAAGGTTACTGGACAGTTGGGTACAGTTTTATTTTTGGTTTTATGTGGTGGTTTTTGTCTTTGGTTTTTATTGTTTCAGCTTATGGTCCAAAAGGTCTCACTTTTTTTTCCTGGGCATGGGAGCATTATCTTCATATGTTACCTAAGAATCAACAGCAATCACGGACATATAGCCAAGCTACAAGCATACCCCATAATATCCCACCTTCTGGACAGAAGTCAATACCAGCTACTAGGCATTACAAAGATTGCAATTGTTTCCTAAGTTAGACTGCTGCTGTACTCAGAGACATGAAAAGGAAGCCTATATGAAGATCGCCTCCAATAGGAGACACACAATAAACTTAACAACACAACATACACTCATTTAATCATTGAAAACATATCTCAGTAGCAAAAATGTCCTATAAATAAACAGCAATACAGAAAAGAGTAACTTAGACAAATGAGCTGGAAGCAGACATAAACTTCCCAATAGAAGAAGAGAAGACTTTGGACCTTCCTTATCAGAAGAATGATATGTCGAAGGAAAGTAAGGAAGAAGTCAAGAAAACACTACAGGAACAACCAAACAAGATAGATATATCATTGGAAACTATTCAAAACCTGCAAAAAGAGGTCCAGATGATGAACAATAACATATCAAAAATGGACAATACACTGAAAGGGAAAAGGAGTGGAAATGAAGATAGGGAAGCCAGAACCAGAAACCTTGGAGACAAATTTCTCAATACTCCTGAGATAGAAGAAGAAGCAGAAAAAAGGATAAAACAAAAACAAAACTTAAGAATTATTGGCATTCCCACAAGAAAGAATCACATAAGTACACAGAGAAGATTGTTGAAAAGAATCTGGAAGATAATTTCCTTAACATCTTGAAGGATGAGAAGATAAACATTCAAGAAGCTGAAAGACCTTCAGGAAAGGTAGACCCCAAAAGAAAAATCACCAATACATATCATAATCAAGCTCTTCAAAATCAAAGACAAGTAAAGAGTTTTAAACCAGTTGAGAAAAAGAGAAGTATTATGTACAAAAGCAAGTAAATCAAATTAAACTCTGACCTCTCAGCAGAAACCATGAAGGCAAGAAAGCAAAGGAGAGACACATATAAAACCCTAAAAAAAAGAAAAACAAAAAAAACTGCCAACAAAGAATTATATACCCAGCAAAATATTCAATCAAATCCAATGGTCCAATCTAAATATTCCAGGATAAACAGAAGCTAAGACAATTCTTAAAAGCCAATCCAGCAATTCAAAACAACAAAAGGGAATTCTTTGGAATGAAATCCTACAAGAGCAGACTACAACTGGAGATTGTCAGATGTGACAATCTCACCGAGAATTCAGTCATCATATAGCAGAGTTCAGAACAGAATAAAATTACAACAATGAATTCACAGGATCTGTGAGGCTACTCAAAGATCAAAATAATAACAAGGTCAAAGAAAGGGGAAAATATAGGAACAGAGATCCAAGTGGTGAGGAGCTCGTGTAGATTGCAAGATACAATAGACGCTCTTAATTGGAGGCAAATATTAGTAGACTATAGGGTAACCTCAAAGAAAGATAATGTTTCACAACTTACCTTGAAAATGATTATTCAAATATAAGAAGGAAACATAAAAACTAAAGGAAACTCACACACAAAAAATAGAAACCCAGCACAAGAAGGCATGCAGAACAATGGATAAACAGCACCACAAATATTAACATGACAGGAATTAATTCATACCTATTAATCATTACACTGAATGTCAATGGATTAAATGCATCAGTGAAGAGACAGAGAGTGGCAGAATAGATAAGAACACAAGACCCTTCAATACGCTGCCTGCAAGAGACACACTTCGCACACATAGACAAAAACAGGCTAAAAGATAAAGGATGAAAAAAACATATATATACCACCATAATGGCAATAAAAAGCAAGCAGGAGGGGTAATATTGATCGCTAGTAAAATATTCTTGAAGGCAAAAATCAACATAAGAGATAAAGAAACTTGAAAAAACACCTAAATATATAGAATAGGGAGGTGATAATCTCTTCAACAGATGGTGATGGCAGAACTGGAAAGTGATATGAAAAAGATTGAAACAAGACCTTCACATTACATCTTATACTAAAACCAACTAAACTTGTATTAAAGTCCTAAATGTAAATACCAGAATTATGAAGACCATCAATGAAAAATTAGGGACAAATGTGAGGGAACTAATTCAGGGAATACACAGACTACCAAACATTTTGAAAACTACACAAACAAAAGTAGAAAACAATAGATGAGTGCATTAACAACTTATGTGCATCAGAAAACTTCATCAGAAGAATAAAACAGGGAACCCACAAAATGGGGGGAAAATTACAATGACACATCAGAAAAGGGACTTATTTATAAAATATATAGGAAATTACAACATATCTACAAGAAAAAGGCAAATAACCCAATTTAAAAATGGGCACTGGACATAAACAGACACTTCACCAAGGAGGAGATACAGGCAGCCAACAAACATATGAAGAAATGTTCACGATCACTAGCCATTAGAGAGATGCAAATCAAAACAACAATGAGATATAATCTCATACCAGCATTAGCATCAAGGATCAAAAAAAGTAGAGGACAATAAATGCTGGTGAAGGTGTGGAGAGACTGGGACACTCCTGCATTGCTGGTGGGACTGAAAAATGGTCCAACCTCTCTGGAAAGCAATATGGTGCTTTCTCAGAAGGTTGGAAATAGAAATACCTTATGATCCAAAAATTCCTCTACTTGGCATTTACCTACAAGAAATATAAGCCATAACACAAGTAGATATATGCACACCAATGTTCATAGCAGCACTATTTGCAATAGCAAAAAGATGGAGACAGCCAAAATGTCATTCAACTAAAGACCTGATAAATAAACTGTGGTACATACACACAATGGAATATTAGGCTACCTTGAAGAATAACAAGGAAGCTGCAAGCCACCACATAACATGGATGAACTTTGAGGGCATTATGTTGAGTGAAATTGGTCAGTCACAAAAGAAGAAATACTGTATAGGACCACTAAAGTAAAAGACTAAGAAAATAACCCATACTAAAGGAGGGGGGTGTTTGCTGGGATGTGAAGGGTGGGGTGAGGGGAGGGAAAGAAAGGAGGAACACAGGGAAGGAAATAGACACAGGATAGTTTGGGAGCTGGGGAGGGGGCAATGTACTAGAAGAAGTAAGGGAATGGAAGAACAAAGTGGATTGGTGAACAATTAGGCAAGTTTGCATGGGCTAAGTGGGACAGAAGTAAATAATGATGTATGCACAACCTTGGAACAACAGGGCTCTGGGATACAGGGAATGAAACATGGCTGGAATGGGGAAAAGAAGGGAAATATTATGAAGATGATTGGCTGTCTTTGGAATCTTGGTTTCCCTTGCATATCATTATAAACTAGATACTGGAGGGGGAGAGAAAGGAATAGCCAGAAATATTACTATAGGAAGCTTGTAAGTCTATCTCCTGTCTATAACTTATTGAAATACTTAAAATGGGGCTACAACATGCCCAGTGAAGAAGGCTTCCTGCAGAGCCTATCCATTACAAAATAGTATAGGTGGAATCCTGAACAGCATCTATAATCTTCAGAGGTGGGAAATTTCCACTTGAAAGGATGGGCAGACCAGCCTGGAATAGCTAGAAGAACAGAAGATAATTTTTGAAAGAAAGACTGCCAG